GGCCCACGGAAGCGCCCCCAAGGCAGCGGTGGGGGCCGCGCAGAGCCCGGGGGGCGGCCGGGGACGCCCTTGCTGTCTACCAGGAGGGGACTCGGAGGAGGGTCAGGTCCCCTGGGGGCGGCTGGGGGCAGGAGGGCGGCGTGGCCACCGCTGGCGGTGGTGCTGGGCCTCTGGGACCGCAGGAAGGGCAGCCCGGGAGGCTTTGGGGCCCCCCCCCGTGCCGCCCGGGTCCGGACTGCCTCCCGGGCGCCCGCGCGCTGGGGCGAGAGGACCGTTAGTGTCCCCCGGGGTCTGCTCCCGCACCCCGTCCCCGCTGTGGGGGGTGGCGCAGGGGCGACGCCCCCACCTGGGCCGGGCGGGGTCAGGGACCCGCGGGTTTCGCCCCAGGGCGTTCTCCTGGGTCTCTGGGCTCCCGCCGCCCTCCAGCCGCTTCTTCCTCCCCGTCAGGTCGTTCCATCCCTGGCTTCCACGTGGGTTCGAATGTGTTTGACTGGGAAGTGGGCATCCGCCGCGAGGGAGCAGAGCCTGCCCCTGCCCCCGAGGGCAGCCGCCGCCGGCAGTCTCCGGCCGCAGCTCGGCCAGGAGCAAGGCGCAGAGGCTGCTCCTGCTGCCCGCGCCCCCTCCCGTGCCAGCCCCCCGCCCCCCAGGTGCCAGCCCGACCGCTGCAGGGCCACCCTTTGCCCACACAGGGCCCCCCCAGGTCCCGCTAGGCTGAGGGCACCCTGAGCGTCCCTGGGCTCGCTGGGCCGTCAGGGTCAGCCGGGGCCTGGCCCCATAGCTTCGTATTTCCAGAATGCCAGGCTGGGCCCACCCGTGTGTGGCCTTCTCAGACGCACGTGCACCTGCAGGCACCGGAACCCCTCACATCTTTCTTGTGTTTTAGGATTTATCTGTGCACACAGGAGCTGGGCCAGAGGCGCAAGGGCGCGGGATCCGCAGAGACGAGCGGGGCGCACAGCAGGTGGGTTCACCCCCACACTGCCGGCTGCTGTGGGGAGGGGAGGGCCGCGGCGCCCTGCGGGGGTCC